ACTAAAATAAATTTGTATAATCCAAATATGGAAAAACCTTGTTAACACACTAGAAGTCACATACATTTTTGACACAATTGTCATCAAACTTGGTCAGGATGCTTGTGTAAGACATTGCTGGGATGAGGTTGATGGGTCAGGGAGCGATCTAGGGCCATCTTGGCCCTCTTGCTAATGAATTTATTTCCTTCTACTGTATAAATATAAGTAGGGTCACAGGAAAACTTATCTAACCACACATTGATTTTTTTATTTTATTTAAATGGGATAATACACAGATTTTAGTCTATTTGTTATGCCACTGCAGCATCTGCGATGCGGTGGCATATAGCGATTCACCTGTGTGTGTGCGTGTGTGTGTGTTTGTGTGTTATATATAGATTATATAGTGTGTGTTTGTGTGTTAAATAGATTATATAGTGAACTTAAAAAATCGTCTTGTGAAAAACCACTTGTCCAATTTCAACCAAACTTCGCAGGATTGATCCTTTGGTGAAGGGCTTCCAAAGTTGTTCAAAGAATTTCATTCCATGCAGAAAGCTGATTGCCATGGCAACCAAAAGGGATTATAAGAATAAATTTTACAAAGACCCACAAGGCCTAGAGCATAGATATTTTGCATAAGGCATTGTCTGGTAGACCTCTACCCAATTGTTCAAATTATAGCCCTGGGGTCAAAATTGGCCCCGTCCCGGGGGTCATTGTTTTTCACTATATGCACATATAGTAAAAACTTAAAATACCTTCTTGTCTGAAGGTACAAGGCTTAGAGCTTTGATATTTGGTATATGATATCATTTATAGGTGCTCAACCAAAGTTTTTGAAATTTTTCCTCTAGTGTCAAATTTAGCCCCGCCCCGGGGCTCATACTGGTTTTCCTTATATGTATATTATGTAAAAACTTTAAAAAAATCATCTTCTCGAAATTGACAAATGATAGAGGTAAGATATTTTGCATGAAACATTGTGTAGTGAACCTCTAGCAAGATTGTTCAAATTATAACCCTGGGGTCAAAATTGGTCCCACCCCGGGAGGTCATTGATTTTCACTATGTGCATATAGTAAAAAATTCGAAAATCTTCTTGTCTGAAGGTACAAGGCTTAGAGCTTTGATATTTGGTATATTATATCATCTATAGGTACTCTACCAAAGTTGTTCAAATATTACCTCTTTTGTCAAATTTAGCCCCGCCCTGGGTGTCATAGGTTTTCCTTATATGTATAGAGTAAAAACTTAAAAAATCATCTTCTCTAAATTGACAAAGGCCAGAGGTTAGATATTTTGCATGAAACATTGTGTAGTGAACCTCTAGCAGGATTGTTCAAATTATAGCCCTGGGGTCAAAATTGGTCCCGCCCGGGAGGTCATTGATTTGCACTATGTACATATAGTAAAAAAATCTTAAATCTTCTTGTCTGAAGGTACAATGCTTAGAGCTTTGATATTTGGTATATAGTATCATCTATTGGTCCTCTACCAAAGTTGTATAAATTATGCCCCTAGTGTTAAAATTGATAGTTTTCCTGTTATGTATATAATAAAAACTTAAAAAATCTTCTCTGAATTGACAAACTGTGAGGTTAGATATTTGGCATGGTACTAACTACTTTGCATAGTGAACCTCTACCAAGATTGTTCAAATTATAGCCCAAGGGTCAAAATTGGCCCAGCCCCTGGGGTCATTGATTTTCACTATGTACATACAGTAAAAACTTAAAAATCTTATTGTCTGAAGGTACAAGGCTTAGAGCTTTGATGTTTGCTATATGATATCATCTATAGGTACCAAAGTTGTTTAAATTTTGCCCCTGGTGTCAAATTGGCCCTGCCCGGGGGCATTGATTTTCATTATCTACACATAGTAAAAACAGAAACTAAAACAAATGTTTTCTGAATGAGAAAAAGCTACAGCTTAGATATTTGACATGAAACGTTGTTTGGTGGACCTGTATCAAGATTGTTTGAATTAAACACTTGGGTTAAAATTTTGCCTTGCCCAAGGGGACAGTGACCTACCTTCTTGTCCTTTGATGTACAGCCATGAAATTTGGACCATGTGCACAGTTTTTGTTGTAAAATTGAACTTTGATATCAGGTGATCTAGATTTTGATGATGTGACCTACTTTCTTGTCCTTTGATGTACAGCTATGGAATTTGAACCATGTGCACAGATTAAGATGTAAACTTTAAAAAGTGAACTTTGATATCAGCTGATCTAGATTTTGACAAAGTGGCTTACTGTGTTGTCCTTTGATGTACAGTCATGAAATTTAGGCCATGTGAAATATGACCTTCACCACCAAATTCACTAGACTCAACTGCATTGATAGATTCCTACTCTGATCTTTTATTTGAATAACAATAATTTAACCCCTAATCTGATAAGATAATATTTAGAATTAGAAAGGTCAGGGACCTATGCATTATGGCAGTCATCAGTTGTAAAGAAACATAAAAAATTCTGTTCCTACACTACTATTTAGTGTTGTATTAATGCGGTGGCATAGCATTTGTCACAAATGCAATCTTGTTTTCTTTAATGTCTTTTTATGACTTTGTACATTGTTAGTCAATAAGCCTGCTATAGATATGGCTAGAACTTACTGTAATACACCAACTCCTCGATCCATACTTTCATACATCTAGTGCTGTCATCGATAAAAACAATATCGATGTATCGTTATTGACGTTAATATTTTTCTGTCCATCAATAATAGATACACATTTTTAAAAATCGATAATATTGACTAATTGATAAAATGTCTAGAAATGACCAAAATTCACCTAAAACAGATACAGAATTAGGTGTCCATATCTAGAGGTGCGCGATTTAACCGGTATACCGGTAAACCATGGTCCTAGACATCTGCGGTACGTACCGCGGTACAGACCTGGAAAACCGGTACTTTAAGCTCTAATTAAAAGCAATTACAGATTGGTAAAATTTACTAAATTAAAAAACTTTTCCTGTTGTATATGTCAATATTTCTTTGAATTAACCTTCTTGAAAACAACTTTCGCCGACTGTTATCATTCTTCGATAGTTCTTAGCGAAAATTGAATGCTTTATCGATTACCGCATGTAAGCCAGAATAATTGTCAACTTGCATGATCTCAGTTGAAGAAGCAAGAATTAATGACTGACATTTACTTGTCCAAATATCGCTTATTGATACGAAAACTAATCGTAAAGATTGATCATTCATAAGGGCATTCCTTGCATAAAATTAGGGTGTTACTATTTTAAGTATTTATATAAATAGCGACCAATCAGGCTAGGGGTTTTCCTTACGTCACGCACTTACTGCATGCGCATGGCAATTAACTAATTATAGAACGGAGTAGAAACTGGATTAAAAGTAATGTTCGTTCAACTAATGAATATTAATTAAGCAGTAACATGGTCAGCTGGTCAGCCGTGGTATTTTCTTTCTGGCCTTATGATATAAGGTATTTTTGAGTGTCATGTTCAAGTAAATAGTAACAACATAACAACAAATTTAAGAGTAGGTAGGTGTTGACTTTAAATCAGTACAGTCATCGAATTTAGCACTGGCCCGGTTGCCCAAGGCCAGTGAAAAATAGTTTGGGCAAGTGAAAATTTTAAGAAAATTTAGTTAAATATATAGTAGAATAAATTCAAAACTGGATTTCGGGCTTGTAAATTCAAAATCCTAATTTCATTGACTGTCAATGGTCTCAATAGGGGGGATAAATAAAGAACAAAACAAAGAATTGGGACTGAATCTGGTGGTCTTAAAAGTGGATAAGCGAGGAGGTCTTAATTCTGGATCATGTTACCATTGAGATAAAGAACAGAAAATTCTGTACTTTTAAAAAAATGGTCTTAATAGTGGGGCAGTCTTAATTCCGGGGTGATCTTAAGTAGTGATTTGATTGTATTATGTAAAGTAAATGTTTTTTAAATTTTTCATTTAAAAACCAACAAAAAAACAAACTTTGTTATTTTCCGTGCATGGAGGTAAATTATCACCACTCTGGCGCGAAATTAGCTTGACTGGTGACATGTCTGGGGTCTGTACTCCACAGCGGAAGCTTTGGCATATATAATTGTCACAAAGTACTCATGTGACAAGAGCATAGCTCTTTGGCATGTATCAATATGTCTTAATAAAACATGTTGCATGGGTATCCTCTCTGTTTAAAACATTATTTTTGATAACTTTAAAACAAATTTGCAATTGGGTGCATATTTGCCTATGCAGTGCTCTTGTTTTACTTGTTATCCAATTTATTTTGCTTTAACCAGACCTTTCAATCTTTGTCGCAATGAACAAAATTTTAAAACCGCCTCCGTGGTTGAGGGGTTAGAGTCGATGACTTCTAATCCAGTTACCTCTCTGGCGTGGGTTCGATCCCCAGGAGATGCTTTGGTAGTTTAGCGCGGAGGAAGGTAGTCTAGTACTGGTGTAACTCTCCATGAACGATGGTTAGGAAACTATATGACTGAAATACTGTTGGGAAAAGGCGTAAAATGAAACAAACAAATAAGGAACAAAATTTCAGAATTTGAGACATGGCATTACTTTGTGAATTTATGCATTAGGTTCTACTTTTTCACAAAACATATGCAACTTATTAAACAACAAGCACATACCAAGAAAAATTGATTAATGCTTTGGATACTAGTATTTTAGTTTAATATTCAACTGTAATAGAGAACAATTGTCAAGGCTGATTTTGTACATGACCTGTGACTGTTCCAGCATCAACATTTAAGTTGTTTGATATTGCTATATAGTTATTATAGCTTTGCATTGATCAATGACAGCTCAACAAAGATGTAGAAATATGTTTGAAATCTCAAATATTCTGAGACGTTTTTTAAATAGATATGAAATAAACAATTAATGCTATTCAGTCATATCAGTCAATAAAAATTTTTAAATTGCTTGATTAAATATGTTTTATATTTTCCAGTGTAACGTTAAACAGTCTTGATATTTCAACAATTTTTTCTGGACAACACACTTAAGCCGTCAAGCTGTCGTCTGAAGCTTTAGAACGGGAGTCGTCCTCGACGTCTTTGGATCACGTCAGGCTGGCAGTCTCCCGTGTTTCCACACCGCCACCCCCAGATATGTCATGTCCTGTTGCAGAGAATTGGTGTTATACACAAGTAAGTTGAAAATGCTTGGTTAAAGCTAAAAGTGTATGTGAAACTTACAGACCAGTCACAAGTTTTTCATTTTTTAGCTCACCTGTCACAAAGTGACATGGTGAGTTTTTGTGATCGCTTTTCAGCCGGCATCCGTCTGTCATAAAAACTTAAAATAATTTTTTTTTTAAAAAAACTTAAAGAGCTAGAGCTTAGATATTAGGCATGAAACATGTTCTAGTGAGTGTCTACCAAGTTTGTTCAAATAAAAGCCCTTGGGTCAAAATTGGCCCTGCCCAAGGGGGTCATTAATTTTATGGTTTAACCTTAAAAAATCTTCTTTTAAAAGAATCCAAATTCCTAGAGCTTAGATAATAAGCATGAAACATCTTCTAGTGAGTGTCTACCAAGTTTGTTCAAATTAAAGCCCTGGAGTCAAAATTGGCCCCATCGCAGGGGGTCATTGATTTTCCTAATATGTATATAGTAAAAAATTTAAAGTCTTCTTTAAAAAAACACAAATAGCTAGAGCTTTGATATTAAGCATGAAACATCTTCTAGTGAGTGTCTACCAAGGTTGTTCAAATAAAAGCCCAGTGGTCAAAATTGGCCCTGCCCAAGGGGTCGTTGATTTTCCTTATAATTATGTATGTAGGAAAAAAAAATTCTTTTAAGAAACCTTAATAACAAGAGCTTAGATATTTCACATGAAACATCTTCTAGTGAGTGTCTACCAAGTTTGTCAAATAAAAGCCGTGGGTTCAAAATTGGCCTCATGGGGGGGGGGGTTATTGAGTTTCTATTTTTAGTTTCTATATTCAGGTGAGGGATTCATGACCATCATGGCCCTCTTGTTTTACTTTTTTGGGTGTTAACAAAATTTAATTTTGCTCCCTTTTTAAAATTCTGATCCATTTTTAGCACAAAATGCTCAAGGTGAATTTTTTGTGATCACAATTTGTTGGCGCCTTATCATCTGTCCATCAGTGTGTCCGTGCATCCATCGTCAACTTTTTATACAAAGAACTTCTTCTCAGAAACCACTCGGCCAAATTTGATGAATTTTTTCTGTGATGTTCCTAGCATGAAGCTCTAGCAAAATTGTTCAAATGGTTTTGCACACGGTGACAAAGTGCAAAAATCACTTGAGCTCACGGTACTGTATGTATGTATGTAGCAAAAACTTAAAAAATCTGCTTCTCTGAAAGTGTAAGGCCGAGAGGTTAGATATTCTGTGTGTAACATCATCTAATAAAACTCTACCAAAATTGTTCAAATTATAGACCTGGGGTCAAAAATGGCCCTGTCCCGGGGTCATTGATTTTCATTATGTACATGTACATATAGTAAAAAAAATAAATTCTTTTGTGAAGATACAGTATTAGGCTAAGAGCTTTGATATTTGGTAAATGAATCATCTATATGTCCTCTAACAAAGCTGTTCAAAGGTTGTTTAGATGGTTTCTAGGTCATGTTTGAATATGGGTCATCTCACAACCAAAATTGTGGAAAAATATTGTTTACATTCTAGAAGTAATATTTTCATCCCAAGTATTCTGAAAATTTGTCAAAGTTGTTTGATAATTGTTAGCCCAGTTTTGAACATGGGTCATCTATGGTCAAAATTTAGTTCACACCGACCAAAAATGGTCACTAGAGGTTAAATTTTTATCCCAAATATTGTGGTTTGGTCAGAAAGGTTGTTTCAGGTTTGAATATGGGTCATCTGAGGTCAAAGAAAAGTTCACAACACATAAAAAGGCATATATGGAAAAACCTTATTAACATTTGCACTGTTTCAGATATGAATGTTATGATATCAGTTTAAGTTTATGGCATTGTATCTGCCTTTCATTCATTGCCAATAATAGTAATTCAGAGCCTCAATAATCAGATGAGTGATGTAAGGGCCATCATGGCCCTTTTGTCTTTTGGTTTTTATGCCCCCGGTCTGCCTGTATGAGGTTAACCTAAAACGGCAAGTTGGATTTGTCTCAGGCCTAGGAACTTCAAACTTGGTATGATGATTGTACATGACCAATAGATGACCCCTATTGATTTTGGAGTCAAGGGGTCAAAGGTGAAGGTCAAAAATTTCCAATCAATAACTAAAGAATGCTTAGGCCTAGAAACTTTAAACTTGGTATGATGATTGTACATGACCAATAGATGACTCGTATTGATGTTGGGGTCAAGGGGTCCACGGTCAAGGTCACATTGATCTTTTAGGTAAAAACAAGTTTCCAACCAATAACTTTACAACTGAATTTGGTTGATATATTTTATTACACTAAAAATGTTTTTGGTATACACATTTCAAGGTCTTATGTAATATAACAAATAAGCTGTCATTAAGGAGACGTATATGATTCATAAAATTTATGCATGTATTATGTGGTAAGATTTGTGAAAACTTAGTCTTAAAATTGCTGCACACAACCTTTATGATCACAAATACCTAGTGACTATTCATGACCAGCAGATAACCCCTTCTGATTTTTTAGTCACTAGGTCAAAAGTCAGTCATAATAACCTGACCACATAACTAATTGGCTGCCGATAGGGGACATACATGTTTTTACAAACATATCTTGTTTATTTAATGATATCTTTCATATTTGGTAGGTGGATACCTAAAATGGTCCTAAAATTTTTAGCTCACCTGACCATGAAGTGGTCAAGGTGAGGTATAGTGATGGGGCTATGTCCAGCGTCGTGCCTAGTGCGTTGTGTGTTGTTCGTCGTCAACAATTGGGTTGTTAACACTTTAGCAGTCACAGTTTTGATTGGATCATCATCAAACTTTGTCAGAATGTTTGTCTGAATGAAATACAGGCCAAGTTGGAAGTTGGGTTATCTCGGTCAAAAACTAGGTCACAGGAGCTAAAAATAGAAAAAGCTTATTAACACTCTAGTGGCTGCAGTTTTGAGTCAAATATCCTGGAAATTGGTCAGGAAGATTGTTTTGATGATTTCTTGGTCAAGTTCGAATATCCGGTCAAAAATAAGGTGACAGGGGCTAAAAAATTGAAAAATCTTGTTAACACTCTAGTGGCTGCAGTTTTGATCCAAGTATCCTGGAAATATAGTTTTGATCCAAGTATCCTGGAAATTGGTCAGGAAGGTTGTTTTAATGATTTCTAGGTGAAGTTTGAATATGGGTCATTTTTATTCATGAGCTAAAAATAGAAAAATCTTGTTTACAGTCCAGTGGCTAAAGTTTTGATCCAATATTTTTGAAATTTGTCAGGAAATTTGTTTTGATGATTCCTAGATCAAGATTGAATATGGATCGTCCCCGGTCAAAAACTAGGTCGCAGGAGCTAAAAATAGAAAAATCTTGTCAACACTATTGGCTGCAGTTTTAATCCAGATATCCTGGAAATTGATCAGGAAAGTTGTTTTGATGATTTCTTGGTCAAGTTTGATTATGGATCACTGGGGGGGTCAAAAGCTAGTTCACACTGCCCAAATATGGACAAACCTTGTTAACATACTAGAGGGCACATTTTTTTACTCAATTGTCATCAAACTTGGTCAGGATGCTTGTCTAAGACATTGCTCGGATGTGGTTGATGGGTCAGGGGAGCGTTCTAGTGCCATCATGGCCCTCTTGTTAATGGAGGAAGGGGTACCTAGGGTCAAGGTTGAACATTTTTGTTCATACAGCCTTTATTTTAAGTTCATGTCATTTATGTTTAATACAAACTGCTAAGGGAGGGCCTTATCCTTTGGGTTTAGTTAGAGGTCAATTAGGTCAAGGTTAAGGTCATTAATGTCAAAAATAGATTTTAATACTGTAGAGGTGTATTAGCCTTTTTCTATTGAAAGATGTCCTTGATATTCTGTAGGAATATAAAAAAAATAATTTTTCTTCGAATGTCAGTTGGGTCAAAATCACCAGTGCTAAAAATAGTCCACAGTGTTCAATTTTCATAGGATGATTGTCAATATTGGGTAGAAGACCCCTATTGATTTTGGGGTCACAAGGTCAAAGGTCAAAGTCACTATTACCTTAAAACTGAAAACAGTTTCCGGGGCATAACTTAAGTTCCATTTGGCCCACAGTGTTCAAACTTCATAGGATGATTGTCCATATTGGGTAGAAGACCCCTATTGATTTTTGGGTCACAAGGTCAAAGGTCAAGGCCACTATAACCTTAAAACAGTTTCTGGAGCATAACTTAAGTTCCATTTGGCCCACAATATTCAAACTTCATAGGATGATTGTCCATATTAGGTAGCAGACTCCTATTGATTTTGGGGTCACAAGGTCAAAGGTCAAGGTCACTATTACCTTAAAACTGAAAACAGTTGTCGGATTATAACTTAAGTTTCATTTGGCCCACTGTGTTTAAACTTCATAGGATGATTTTCCATATTGGGTAGAAGACCCCTATTGATTTTGGGGTCACAAGGTCAAGGTCACTATTACCTTAGAACTGAAAACAGTTTCCGGGGCATAACTTAAGTTCCATTTGGACCACAATATTGAAACTTCAAAGGAGGATTGTTTTGTGAAGGAGGTAATACTTTATTTAATTCCCATGTCCTACAAATGCTTCATCTTTACTAAAAAAAAATAATCACTTTCGGGCATATAATGCTCCGCCTAGCGGTGCTCTTGTTTTTTGTCTGATGCTTTTTGTATATGGTAGGATGATAATTTGCATGGCCTTCTTCTTTTGGATTTAGTTAGGGGTCAGTAGGGTCAAGTTCTCTAGTGCTAAAAATCGATTTTTTCATTTTTACCCATATATAGCCTTAATTTATGGACAGATGTATTTCATATTTGGTTTGAAGATATCTTGCATGCTTTTCCTTTTGTTTGAGTTAGGGGTCAGTGGGTCAAGGTCAAGAAGGCTAATAAATGATCTTTTTCATTTTTGAAAGGATGATAACTTGTATCCTTGGATTGAGTTAGGGGTCAGTTGGATCAAGGTCACCAGTGCTAGAAATAGATTTTTATCCCCCGCCTTTCGGCGGGGGATATAGAAAGAGTCTCCTTCCGTCCATCCTTC